TTTGTTAACAATACTGAACAATCTCTCACAGTCAGCATTAGAATGGTAATGAACCAATATTACTTTCATAACCTGACAAAGAAGAAAAAATTTATATTTTCCAGTTATTGGGTCTTTTAGCTGCAAAATAATGTGTCTTTACAGATCAACTGTCCACCAGAAGTACCTGTATATTATAGCCAAAACATTTGAGAGATAGTCTCATATGAAAGAGTTATCAACAAGTCAGTTCATTGCCAAATGTGCTTATTGTCTCTATGACATTATATCTAATTGCAACTGTTTATACTTTACAGTTCATATTTAATTCACCCAAGGTGTCTATTTTGTTTTGCCTAATTTAGGTATACAAACAAATAAGATACTATAAAATATGAAGTCCCAGTAATGGCACCTCATCATTGTTGAATTATGCTCCTTGGTGACAATTTGTCCTATCCTCAGTCATATTCCCTTCCAAGTGATCTTTCTGACTGGTTTTCTCTATACTGTTTCTTTACCAAAATTATATTGTAAAATTATAGGGGTTAAAGTTATGTTATAATACAGGAGATATCTGAGGGCTGAAAGAAATTTGATCTCCAATGAGATAGTATGTGTAAAAACATTTTTGGGACTTTACCATGCCCCTTCCCTCTAAATTTTTTCATATATTTGGTCAGTTTAGCTGGATTTGTGTATGGAAATTCTGGTTTTCATGAATGAATGGTGGTCATCCCAAACAGGTCTTCTGGTTTTCCTGCACTTATGTAATATTGAGTCTCTGCAGCACGAACAATAAATTCACAAAGTGAGTGAGAAACTTAGTTGTCACTCTAAAAATTACTCTGTCATTACTCTGACATGTGATGAAGGTATGTAAGGCTTCATATCTGAAGCTGCAATGTATCAGTTCCATTTGAAATTAAACTGTTCCGGTGGCCTAGTGGTTAGAGCGTTCACCTCGGATACGGGAGGTCATGGGTTCGATCCCCGGTTGATTCATACCAAAGACATACAAAAATGGTACTTACATCTGCCTCGCTTAGCGCGCAGCATTAAGAGGTTTGTGTAAGGACTGGTAGGCCTGGTGTCAGGATAATATGACTGGGTGGGACATCATGCTACATGTCTGCAGCATGATGCCCCATTGCTAGACATCACTGTAAACTGCCACGTTGCAGACATCATAGCAATATGACTGAAATTTTTTTATGGTACATTAAAAATGATAATCACATCACATCACATCCATTTGCAATTTAAATATATGTGTGTACTTTACTACATTTTTGACTGGACTACTCTAATCCTCTTGTATCTGGTTTAGTTTAATATCTGCATCAGAAACTTCAAAAAGTTATAAACACAGTTGCTTGGATCATCTTAGTGTGCCAAAAGCCAAGAACTCCTTTCCTCTGCTTTGTACCCTCCATTGGCTACCAGTTCACTCCAGAATCAAACACAAAATCTGTTCTCTGCTACACTTTGTTGACTGTCTAATGTTCAAAATACAAGTACAGTACCTAGTTGACCTCACCCATGTGTACACCCTGTCTAGATACTTGTGCTGATCTTTTGACACTTGTATTTATATTATTCCCACTATCAAATGATACAGATAAAGCTCTTTTGTGTGCCAGGTTCCATCTACCAAGAATGAATTTAAAATTAGATACAAAGACACTGATTTCATTTAACAGTGCTCTACAAACTCCTTTATTTTGATTGCAAGAACCAATGTAAGACTTCACCGTGTTTGTTTTTGTAATTTTGTATATTTAAACACATCTTTATGTTTTATTTAGTCCTCTTCATGCATAGTTGCCACATAAGGCATCCACCGCAGTCCTCCATTGGTCCTGTCCTGTGCCACTTTCTTTGCTTCTCCCCATGATAGTTTCATGGTTTTTAGCTTGGCATTGAGTGGTCTTCTCCATGTTTTGACAGGGCATCCTCTATTTCTCTTCCCTTGGGGATTCCGCTCTAGGGAGTGCTTCGCTATGCAACGGCTGCCTTTTCTCCAAGTGTGGCCCACCCATCTTCATTTCCTTCTAGAGATGGTTACAGTGATCAGGTCTTGTTTTATCCTTTTGTGTTAACTAATATTGTAAAGTCTCCAGTGCTTCTAAAGATTAAGTGCTATACAAAGTCATAATTATTATCACTATTATTACTACTACTACTACTACTACTACTTTATGGCACTATTGGGACTAAAATCCTATGAAAAACCATGGAAAAAGCCTTTACATTCATCTATACCTCTTTGGGTATATTTGTTTTGTTTTAGAAAATCTTACCTATTATTGTGGAATCTGGTAAGCAGATTTAATTGTAAACTGAATAAATTATCTGATTATTGTTAATTTGTCCATACCTACACAGGTATGTATATATTAAAGAAATCCTAAATTATGGCACTTTACTCCAATTGCCTTATAACCATGGACACTCCAAGGTAGCTGATCCAGGCTTTCCTGCAGCTTTACTATATTCTTGTAAGTTAAATGCCCAGAAGAATTCAAGTTTATTTTACTTGCCCCACCATGGTATAACCCTGAGCATACTTTTTTCAATCTGTCCTTCCATCAAATATTGGTTAAATTCTACTTAAGGTCAGTCTTCAGTCTTGTTGGGAAATATGTATTCCATGTAAACATTACTACTTGTAAGCTTGCTTGCAGCTGATTTTAAGAAACAAAAAAAACCCATGACCTTTTTTTCCAAAAGACCAAAGTCCAATGTCTATCCAGTATTCAACAGTAGATGTAATTTCATTTTTGGGCAGAGTATGTTGTATACATAGAAGCAAGGACTTTACTTCTGAGCTGGGGAAAGAAGAGCGAGAGAATATGGAACTTGAATTTTCTCTTGTTGTGAATTTATACCTATGAGACTAGATGCAAGGGTGATAGATGCATATGATACACTGTGGAGGAATGAGATTTTAATACCAAGAATAACAGGAGACATCTTGGAAGTTATTTATTTGTTATTTATTGTCTAAATGTATATGAAAAATAAAAAGAAAAGACCATTCTTTCCATGCATGGAAAAGAAAACATTTATGCCCACTATTTTGGCTAGTGCATTTCAAAAAATTGTTTCCTAGAAGCAAGTATTTTCAACAAAACAAAAAAATGCATGAGAAATTGAAAACCAGATGGCGCTGGAAGGTGGTACTATGTTGATGCATGATTGCAAGACAAGTAACTGCTCTAAACTCTTTCAAAATCTTACCTGACTTCTGGAAAGGATATAAAAGAAAGTTCATACATCATGTTAGAATGTGCCTTCTTTTGTCAAATCATAAAATTTAGGACTCCAGCACCCATTGTAGTAGACATGAATTGGCATTGACTGTTCTAAATCATGAATGCCAATGTCAGTATCTCAAGTCAAAAAATATATATCTCCTGCCACATAACCTTTTCTGCAAATTTAAATTAAAAAAAATAGTAAAATTCTCTATATATTTGGATTTAACACACTTGAAACTGTTCATCATGCCATGAAAACATAGTGATCATTTTTTTGGCTGATCAATCAAAGCACAATGTTCTTTTCAGTTTATTCCATCAAATTGACTTACCAGAATTAGAATGTCACTGTGAAGCTTAACCTAGATAATATGCTGGCATTATTTAATGGTGGAAATATAAACAGTCTGTGCTAAACTCAGCATTGTTTGTGTAGAATCATGCTTTATTGTTTCTGAAATAGTATTGTACTAACATAGACTTTGCAGCCAAGTGTCCCACATTGGATTAAAAGGATTAAGTACTGGTTGTGGACTTGAAATATATGTGAAAAACAAGAAATAATATAAGCCAATGAAGAAGACAAGCCCAAATACTAGCTGTTAAGGTGAAGAATACAAATCCATGCAGTTACCTCTAAGATGAATAATGCAAGTATGGGTGGTTGCTCCTAAGGAGAAAAATAGCCTATGCAGTTGCCCTCAAGGTGAAGGTCACAAGCCCATGTGGTTGCCCTTAAGATGAAGAATACAAACCCATGGAGTTGCCTTAAGCCTATGTGGTTGACTTTTAGGTGAAGAATGCAAGCCCATGTTGAGAATTGTGCATTGTGTTAAACATTTTTGTACTTGAAAAAGTTAATGGACAATATTATAAAAGTATGATTCACTTCTTTGAAGTCCATAAATAGATGGATTCTAAGATATTAAAGGGGGAAAAACCAGTGTAAAAAATTGTATTAGTAGAAGTCCACAACATACTGTATTGTTTATTTGGAGTAAGTGTATGTCAAAATTACTTATCTGGGTGAATAACACTAGATTCTACCTACATTACACTCAAATAGAAGTTATCATAAGGATGTGGGACAGCCATTTTTAATATCTTGTGATTACTTGCTGGTTTGGAATCCAGACCCTGGGAATTACTGTATTGACCAGATTAGACTGAGAATGATCCTATGCAATAGAATTAGCAGATCATCTTCATTTTACCTTCTGATTATTATGCTCTCTTTCATCTGCCACTCCCACATCCCCTCCCCTCCTTGAAGCTGGTTCTCTCCATTCATCCTGAGAAGCTTCTTAACAAGCATGCACAGAAAACACTCAACATAGGGAAAGGAAATTTTGTATGCCTGTTTGTGTGTATATGTAGGTGACCTGATTATATTGCCATGCCACAATTGTCTTTTTATTTTTTTTAAAAATCTTTATGATCAAGATTGGGAGCATGCATATTTTGCAACTCCAGTCTAGCTCTGATTTTAATATGGAACTTTTTGAAATTTATCTTTTGTATTTAAAGTTCAGCATTAGCTTGAAGTTCTGTTCTGTACATGTGTGTTTACTCATGCAGATCCATTTGAACTACTGTACTAAGTTATCAATATATTGAATACGCATACAAATCAGAGCACAGCGATCAATTGAATGTGCATGATACAGTATTATTTAAAATGTCTCCACGGCAAATTTGGTATTTGATAATGCATGTAAAAATAATAATGCTACTACTACTAATAATAATAATCGCTCCGTTGGCCTAGTGGTTAGAGTGTCCGCCTCATATGCAGGAGGTTGCAGGTTCGATCCCCTGTTGTGTTATACCAAAGACTTACAAAAATGGTACTAACAGCTGCCTCACTTGGCACTCAGCATTAAGAGGTTAGTGTTAGGACTGGTTGGCCTATTGTCAGGATAATATGACTGGGTGGGACATCATGCTACATGTCTGCGGCATGATGTCTCAGTGTTAGACATCACTGTTAACTGCCACACTGCAGACATTGCAGCGATATGACTGAAAAATTGTTAAAGCTATGTTAAAAATCTAAATCACACATACATAATGTTCACCAAACATATCCTGCATCATTTTTGGAATATATTTGTTGATTTTTATGCATTAATATGATAAGTCATACACACCCAGTCAATATATTTTCAAAGAAAAAGCACGTTATCAGATCAGTTAGCTAGAGATAACAATTTCAAACCAAATTATGTTGAGATTGAACAAAAATGAATGGAGTTAAAGAAGAATGGCAGGATGGTTATTTTTGACCTAATGTCATTATTCAATACAGGATATGTTACATATGGCTGCAGTACAACTGATAGAAGGACAATAAGGGAAAAAACCCAGGTAGAAACACTGGCCCATTGGAAGGTACTAGCAAGCTTTCTCACAAATCCAGATAGGATGAGCCCAAGACTTGAACCCAGGTAAAATAGCAGTAATCAGTAATGGTAAGTGATTTAGACCTCGTAGTCATCCAGGACCCTATTCCTCACTTAGTAGGGGATGGATGGGCAGATGCTGTCAATTAATATTACAAAAGAAAGAAAGCACGATTTCACATTTTAAAAATAGACTGCTCCAGTGGCCTAGTGGTTAAAGCATCTGCTTTGGATGCAGGAGGTGTTTGTTTGAACCTTGGCCAGGTCATACCAAACATTATAAAAATGATGCTTACAGCTGCCTTGCTTGGCACTAGGCATTAATAGATTAGTGTCAGGACTGGTTGGCCTGGTGTCAGGATAATGGGACTGGGTGGGACATTGTGCTATATGTCAATGGCATGATGCCCTAAGTCATAGACATCACTATAAACTGACAGACTGCAGGCATTGTAGTGATATGACTGAAAAAATTGTTAAAGCCAAATTTATTGTTAACAATCCAAAACACACACACACACACTCACACATTCATTTTAAAATCTTGGCAGCTATTAATCCAATATAACTTCCATTTTTATCATAACTAAAGAACTGCAGATAAGCATCAGTCCCCATACTTGGTTTAGTTTCCAAAGTTCTAAAATAGTTTTAAGTTTTAAGTTTGCATCTAAACTTTGATACATACTGCCATAAAGTGAAATGTTTTAATGGCTTCTATCCCTACATCTATCTGTCTCTTCCTTATTTTGTTTACATATAATAACTCAAATTCTCCACTATCTAACTTTGCAAAAGACTCCAACTAGACTGCATTTAGGGCAAGAATGAAATCTATCTATTTGGGCCAAAAGGGTAAAAGATTAATAGCATGGGGGATGTAAATGGAAAATCATTATGAAGAATAACTTGCATTCCAGATAACTTTACAAAACTTTGTAAACAGCTTGAATTTCAGATATAAATAATTTGGGGTCTTAATGGCAAGTGTTAGGATCACAGTAAGATGAAAAATTATTTCTGCACAATATCTTGAGTTCTTTAGCTCTTGACAAACTCAGTGGATTGCTTGCCTTTGAGACAAGGAAGACATATACATTTTTGGGATGAAAAGATCAAAGGTTACAGTCCGACTGTAAGAAGGAAAATGATTTCCACTAAACTATTTCAGTTCTATACTACACATCCAGACTAAACATTGTAGATGGCTTGCATTTTGGGGTTTAATGGTTAAAATGAAGGTCAGTAGGACTACAAAAAGGAAAACCATTTCCATATATAAAAGTCACAAAGATTGAATAAATAAATATGGTTCCAAGAAAAAAAATAATTGAGTTTTATCTCTTTGATAATGACCAAATTGTGTGAGTGGCTTGTGTTTGAGATGAATAAAATGCCTATTGATAAATCATAATTTAAAATTCATAGCATTTCAATATAGTTAGGAAATGTCACTTAGCATCAATGGCATAGTATATAAATTTAATTGGTACTACATTTTTCCCTACCAGAATATCAAGATAAGGAAAACATCAAAGGAGTATAATATTACTGTTGACTAAATTACAGGTGTATAATGTAATGCCTACAGTACTGTTGTTACCTTAGCAGTATAGGAAGAGTTGCATGGAACAGCAGGATTTTACAAATTCATGAGATGACACATCAGATTGACAAGATTTACTTTGAAGTGCCACCCATTATTAGAAATTTTCCTGTAGGGAGTTCATTTAATAATTAGTTCCCTCTGTTGTCACAAGCAGTGAAAAGCAGCCAAGATCAACTTATTATTATTATTATTATTATTATTATTATTATTATTATTATTATTATTATTATTATTATTATTATTATTATTATCATTATTATTATCATTATTATTAATATTATCATCATCATCATCATTATTATTAATATAATCATCATCATCATCATTGTTATTATTATTATTATTATTATTATTATTATTATTATTATTATTATTATTATTATTATTATTATTGTTCTTGTTGTTGTTCTTGTTGTTGTTATCTGTAATTTGAAGAGGTATCACAGACTCCAGGAGATGGCTTGACTTTATTTCAGTGACATTTGAGATATGAAGATTTAAATGCAATACATCCAAAGAATATTTGTCAAATTTTCAAACCAGTCTGAGGTGCTCTCATGAGTGAACATTTTATGACCAGTCCAAGAGACATAGAGAAAGATTGAGCACAAAAAAAGTATTAAATTCTTTACAGAGAATAGTAGCATATGTTCTGCTCAACATAGATTGGTCAATATACATGATTTAGGGAAAGGCAGACCTATAAGTTACATATGTGAAAAAGCTTAAACTTTCCACTCCTTTCTAAAAATACAAGATGATTGCATCAAAGGAATGGATATTGATTGCGTCATATATAGCCAACACAAGTGACTCCTACCCCATCCCATCTACCCAACATCACCATCTTCTCCCATTCTAAATCCCTACAATACTGATGGTTAATAATCTGTAAACTGAGAAGAAAAGAATAAAGATACTATCTACATATTACAGGAAAGAGGATTGCTTAATTTCAGTTTACTGTATATTAGTCAATATTAGTCACAGGTATATGAATGTTAGTTGTGTGATGTGTATGTATCAACATATAGATATACTGTTACATGACAAGAGCTCATACTCAGTAACAAAGTAAAGAGTTAAAGCCAACAAGCTTTGTATATTTTAAGAAAACAATTTATTTCCCTAGATACAAATGTAAACATTGGTAAATAGGACTTACAGTTTGTGAATATAATCCAAAATTTGATCCTAAGAATGAAAACACAAGTCTTATCAATAAATAGTCCTATTAGAATCCAGGATCGAGTCCCAACGACGTAAAAATACGTTGATGTCAGATGTGGTCCAAAATACGAATAACAACAAATCCTTACTTGAATCACAGTCTTTGCTTACGAATAATTCCAGAATAAATTTCCTTGAATATCTTTCAGAATTTTTACTAAAAGAAGTCAACTTGTTGAGTTTCCAGGTGAATATATTATTAAATCCAAAAATCAGACGAAGAACAAATAATCTGGCAATAAATAGAAAATAATACACCTTGCTCCTTCAAGGTGTAGAATGACTGTCTAAAAATTATTAAGATTGCGTATTTAAAACCCCAACGCCTCATTTCAAGTCTCATGAGACTGGTCATGTGATTTCTTACTACACTAACTTTAGCACGTCCGCCAGTATAAACCTACTTAAAAACCAATCATAAAAACGTTTACATCTAATGATCACTCAAAGAACGTATGCTCCTGATACTGACCAATCATTTTAACTTCCTGTTGACATTGTTGCCAGCGCAAGACAAACTAGGGTAACTAAATGATAATTCTCACGTAGTACGACTTCATCTTACATAAACAACATTTAATAAAGAAAAATATCTAATTACTGAAACAGAATTTCGAATGTGATAAAAATATTCATTACAATAAAATGTAATAAGGCTTAATTTTTAGAATTTGTGCCAGATTAAGTTTTACTCAGAGTTGTATTAGGCTGAAATACCTTCCTAACAATAGACTGCTGAGTGAATGTTTTGCTTACAGAGGAACTTTATGAGTTAAGGAGTACTCATCGGCAGCAACATCAGCATTTTCCAGGGTTTTAATCTTATGCTCTTCAAAATGATTCTTAATATCATTAGGAACACGGTTTTTGAATTCTTCAAGAAACACATTTTGTTCAAGACTTTCATAATCATGTTAAACTTTCTTGGCTAAGGACTATCTCTTAAATAACTGTTCTTTTTCTCTAGCAAATTGCAATTGCAATTGCTTTTCTTGCGACTGCATTTGTTTCTCTTTTTCTTCTCTCTGAAGCTTTAGCCTCTTTAACAAGACTGCTGAGTGAATGTTTTGCTTACAGAGGAACTTTATGAGTTAAGAAGTACTTATCATCAGCAAGAGCAGCATTTTCCAAGGTTTCAATCTCATGCTCTTCAAGATGACTCTTAACATCACTAGGGACAGTTCTTAAACTCTTCAAGTAACACAAGATGTTTGATATTTTCACAATCATGCTCAACCTTTTGGGCTAAGCACCATCTCTCGAATAGCTGTTCTTTTTTTCTAGCAAATTCGAAATAAGTCTGCCCAGCTTCTTTTTTATAGTTTCTGAATTTTTGCTGATAAGCATTAGGAACTAACGGATAACCCCTTAATATACACTCTTTTAAACAAATCATAATCCGAACTCTATTCTACTGACAGGGAATGGTAAATATCACTAGCTTTTCCAACTAGTACACACTTTAGAAGTGAGTCCAATACTCTCTTGGCCATTTAAAAACGAGGGAAATAGTTGTCTACTTCTCTTTTTCTAAAAGGGGGAACTGCCCTAACATAATTTTGCAATGTAAAAACTTTAATCTATATGTGA